ACTTACATGGGACTGGACCCCATTTTCCTAACAATCTCCCCCTCCAGTCCCATTAGAAGGAGATTCATCACCATAGCAATTTCATTTGGAACTTACCTTGGCCAGGGAACTCATTCCGGCCAAATTACTGCAAAGCTCAAGCTTTTTCCTGGGAAGTATCTTAGTCAACATATCTGCCACATTTTTATTAGTATGGACTTTCTTCAATAGCATCTGCTGTTCTTCAATCACTGAACGTAACCAATGATATCTAACATCAATGTGCTTTGTTCTAGCATGGTACATGGTATTCTTACTCAAATCTAAAGCACTCTGGCTATCACAAAATACCACATACTCTTTCTGATTCAACCCCAATTCAAAAAGAAAACGTTTCATCCAAAGCATTTCTTTACATGCTTCAGTTGCTGCAATATACTCAGCTTCTGTAGTTGACAAAGCAACACACTTCTGCAACTTAGACTGCCAAGATATAGCTCCTCCTGCAAAAGTGAACAAATACCCTGAAGTAGATTTCCTACCATCAAGATCGCCTGCCATGTCAGCATCAGTAAACCCTTCTAGAATTGGTTGTGAAACTCCATAAGTCAAACACATTTTTGAGGTACCCCTCAAATATCTAAAAATCCATTTTACTGCTTCCCAGTGAACCTTCCTTGGATTAGAAAGAAATCTGCTCACTACACCAACTGCATGAGCAATGTCAGGCCTTGTACAAACCATAAGATACATTAAAGAACCGACTGCAGAAGAATAAGGAATACTAGACATAGCTAGTTGCTCTTCCTTAGACACTGGACAAGATTTCTTACTTAGATGAAAATGGTTGGCAAGTGAACTGCTAACTGATTTAGCATGTTGCATGTTGAATCTACCAAGCACTCGTTCAACATACTTTTCCTGTGACAACCACAGCTTTCCAGCTCTCCTATCTCGGATAATGTCCATACCAAGAATCTGCTTTGCTGGACCTAAATCCTTCATATCAAAGGACTTAGACAATTGTTCTTTCAACCTGCAAACCATACTAGCATCTTGTCCTACAATCAACATATCATCAACATATAATAACAGGATAATGAAGTTACCATTAGGGAATTGTTTAATATACACACAAGAATCTGCTGCTGTTCTTTTATAGCTATGACTCATCATAAAAGAATCAAACTTCTTGTACCACTGTCGCGGAGCTTGTTTCAAGCCATACAAGCTTTTCTTCAATTTGCAAACTAAGTGCTCTTTCCCTTTCACTTCAAAACCCTCAGGCTGATTCATATAAATGTCCTCCTGCAAATCACCATGCAAAAATGCAGTTTTAACATCAAGTTGCTCAAGCTCAAGATTCAAACTAGCTGCCAATCCCAGTACCACTCGAATAGAACTCATTTTTACAACTGGAGCAAAAATCTCATCAAAATCGATGCCTGGTTTCTGAGAAAAACCTTTTACTACCAATCGAGCTTTGTACCTCACTAGTTTGTCACCATCCTTTTTCAACTTGAACACCCATTTATTCTTTAATGGCCTCTTCCCTGTTGGAAGTTTAACAAGATCATAAGTACCATTCTTTCGCAATGACTCCATCTCTTCTTTCATTGCTTTTAACCAGTGCTCTCTATCCGGAGTAGCCTGCACATCTTGAAAGCTTTCTGGCTCCCCTTCACTGGTAACTAAAATAAAATCTGAACTTGGATACCTGGTAGATGGCCTGCGCTCTCTAGTAGATCTCCTGAGCTGAGACTCTACATCACTTGATGCTGAAGGTAGCTCCCCCTGCTCAACACTCTCAGGTAGAGAGGATTGCTCCCCCTGCTCAAAACTAATAGCATCTGGCTCATCACCAACTATGGCTGGCTCATTCATATCCCCAAGTTCTGTTTCTGGCTCATTTTCACCATCTGTGGCTCTTTCCTGTGAAATCCCTGTCGGTGTTGAAACATCACACTCAACAGTAACTCGTGTAGTCTTCTCATTTTTCTCAAGGTCTGTTATGGTTTCTTTTTCATGAAAGACCACATCTCTGCTTCTGACTGTCTTTCTCTTTACTGGATCCCATACCCTGTAGCCAAATTCCTCATCACCATATCCTACAAACACACACTGTGTAGCTTTACTATCAAGCTTTGACCTCTGCTCTTTTGGTACATGCATGAATGCTTTACACCCAAAAACTTTTAAGTGAGAGTATGAAGCATCTTTTCCTGTCCACACTCTTTCTGGAATGTCAAAGCCCAAAGGAACTGATGGTGACCTGTTAAGTAAATAACAAGCTGTGTTGACTGCTTCACCCCAGAATGGCTTTGGTAATTTTGCCATCCTCAACATACATCTGACTTTTTCCATAATGGTGCGATTCATTCTTTCAGCTATACCATTATGCTGCGGTGTTCCAGGTTCTGTCCTCTCATGCCTGATCCCATGCTTTGAGCAATACTCTTCAAAGCTTTTAGATGTGTATTCCCCACCATTATCAGTTCGAATACACTTTAAGGGTAACCCTGTCATCCTTTCAACCATGGCATGAAATTTTTGAAAATACTGCAGTACCTGACTTTTATATTTCAACATATACACCCAAGTCTTACGTGAAGCATCATCAATAAAAGTAACAAAATATCTGCTACCACCTAATGACTCAACCTCAATGGGACCACATACGTCAGAATAAATTAATTCCAATATATTTTCTTTTCTCTGAGAACTTTTACGAAAAGAAACTCTATGATGCTTACCAAACAAACAATAATCACATGAATCGAGAGACATACCTTTGGTCAAGGGAATGAGAGAGTGCCTTGCCAAAACCTGTAACCCTTTTTCACTCATGTGTGCCAGCCTCCTGTGCCACAAGTTTGCTGAAGCATCATTTTCAACGGTATTTACCTGGTTACCGTTCAATTGCATCCATGTCTTATACATTGTGCAGCATAGTTTTCCCTTTGCAACTACCATAGATCCTTTGAGAAGCTTCCACTGTCCATTCTTTTGTCGGCTTTCATATCCCTCCTTATCAAGGACATTAATAGCAAGCAAGTTCATTCTCATATCTGGAATGTGTCTGACATCCCTCAAAGTCAACATGCAGCCTGTACTAGTTTGTACACCAATATCACCAATCCCAACAATCTGCGACACACTCTTGTTTCCCATCTTGGTACAACCAAAGTCTCCTGCTTTGTAAGTTGTAAACAACTCTCTCTTAGGAACACAATGATATGCCGCTCCTGTGTCAACTATCCACTCAATGTCGGGATCACTAACATGATTACAATCACCATGTGTACAAATCAAAGTAACTGAATCACTATCTGAATTCACTGCTGCAACATTGCCATCATCTGAACTCTTGCCTTTCTCATCTTTTCGCTCTTGCTTTAAGATTCTACAGTTTCGTTTTATATGACCCGCCTTACCACAATGAAAACACTTCACTTTACCTTTAGACTTGGATCTATGTTTAGACTTACCACGGCCTTTTGAGTCCTGACTTCTGTCGATGTTTCTACCCCTGTTCTCTGTGACCAGAGCTTGATTCCCAGGGTCTACATCTTTTCGCCTCGCTTCTTCATTAAGCATACTGTCCTTTACCATCTCTAATGTCACCTTATAATCAGGAGCTGAATTAAGAACAGTCACAACTAGAGTATTCCAGCTGTCTGGCAATGAACCCAAAAGAAATAATGCCTTCATTTCATCATCCATCTTAAGTTCCATAGTAGTCATCCGATTAAATATATCTTGAAAATCACTCAAGTGCTCTGTAACAGATCGTCCATCCCTGTACTGTAAAGTTGCAATTTTTTTAACAAGCATAACTTTATTCATACCTGTTTTTCTCTCATACAATGCTGCCAATTTTTCCCAAACAATGTGAGCATCTGACTCCTGCGCTACATGATGAAACACGCTGATATCAACCCATTTTCTGATTGTAGCCAGCGTCTTTCTACCTAGCTTCTTCCAGCTTTCATCTTTCATATCTGCTGGTTTAGCCGAATCACCCAATACTGGCTCATACAAATCTTTGCCAGTATAGATGATCCTCCATCATAGGCTTCCAAATTGAATAATTTGATGCTGTCAATTTTATCATGGAACCTGTATCACCCTCCATGATCTCAAACAGAATTTACTTCTATCCTGGGATGCTTCTGTATCGATGTCTCAAAATAACCCTCGCTCTGATACCACTTGTTGCGCCTGAAGCAATAATCACAACAATACAGAAGCAATAGACAACAATCAATAATCAAATGCGCAGGAAAAATAAAGCACACCAAGATTTACGTGGAAAACCCTCCAGTGTAGAGGGAAAAAACCACGGGCCACCAGAAAAATCTTCACTATCAAATAATAGTTATACAAAGTTCTTCTCTAGCTAAAACTAGAGCTAATCAACAACTAGAGAAACAATTGGAGAAATCTCACCAAATAAGTGACTCAACAAATACACCCTGGATTTGTTCCTAGAGAGCTTCAAACCCGATCTTCACCGTTCAGAATGTATAACTCTGAATCATAAACCTCCTGACAAGGTTCCAACTCAATCGGACCACGGATCGACTTCCGTTTAATCAACTCTCCCTTCTCCTTTTTTTCTCTCTGCTTTTCCTGGCTTTTCTTCTTTCTCTGCTTGGTTGTCGACACACACCTTAAACAACCCCACCTCTTTTTTATTAAGTAGCTAGGGCTCTGTGTAAAATAAAAGATCAAGGCCCATGGCCTTTACTTGGTCCAAAACCACTTACATGGGACTGGACCCCATTTTCCTAACAATTATTCGGTGTCGACAACTGAGAAATCTACCTAGTTGTCTTCCTTCATTGGAGAAACATGGGATTCAAGAATGTGAGCAGTTGGTAGTTTCAATCTCAAGCCTTCCAAAGTTTTCTGACTTAAAAATTGATAGGTGCTAAGAGGTGGTGTCTACAAATTGTACAAATTCTGGCTCATTCATGAAAATAGTCTCTCTTTCAAACATTTCAAAATTCACTGGTCCAATGGAGGGGATGATGTTAGGGTTGATAAAAGCTAAACGTCTTTATATACGTGGATGTGAGGAGCTAATTTCTTCATGGCAGAACCAGGAAGGACCCTCAACACATTTGAGGCCTATTCGCTTTTTGGAAATTCACAATTGCTCAGGACTTGTTTCCATAGGGGCAGAGGACGAAAAGGAAGAGCATATGCAGTTAGGAATCCCTTGCCACATTGAACATTTGAGCATACAACTAGAGTCCATAGCTCAAGAAATTGAAGAGAACTCTTCCCTTGAATTGATAACTATCTGCAGTTGTGATAATTTGAGATCTTTGCCTCGTGTATTAAACAAGCTCAGAAAGCTAGCCTTTCTTGGTGTGAAAAACTCCATGCATTGTCCAAGTGTGATGTCATTTCCAGAAGAGGGGTTCCCTCCCAATCTCACTTCATTTAGAATCTTGCAACCCAATATTTGGAAGTCAGTGATCGAGTGGGGTTTGCACAAACTCACCTCCCTTAAAACATTTGTCCATCAACGGTGCTTCTCTAGATGTGGTGTCATTCCCATACGAGGAAATGCTTCTGCGCGGCACTCTCACCTCATTCACCAACACAGATTTTCCAAACCTAGAAACTCTATCCTCCAAGGGCTTTCAAAATCTAAAATCTCTTGAATCATTTGGGTATCCTTAGTTGCCCCAAGCTCAAATTCCTTCCGGAAGAGATGTTTGACTCACTTTTGCAACTCGAAATTTCTAGATGTCCATTGCTAGAAGAACGATGCAAGAAGGATGAATGACAAGAGTGGCCCAAAATAGCCTACATACCTTACATTGGAATTTATACTTGATTCTTATCATAGCCCACATACCTTACATTGAAGTTTTAAGCAGCTTCATGTTAATTTGTTAACGGAAGGAACGCCAAGAAATAAGGTGCATGTCACTTTGCAATTATATGCTACTTATTTGAAGAACATTAACGTACTATTAAATCAAGTGCTCAAGTGATTTATTTTCATGATTATTGTTTTTTCGATTCCATAATAAAAGGTTCATTAGTTCAATCCCTTATACACAGCTTTTTGTTTTACAATGAAATGGAAATTATATATAAAAAAAAATCTATGTTTAATAAAAATAGAAATTCATTAAAATTAAAATTGGACTAAATCAATAGGATTGAGATAGTAGAGGGATCAAATTCAGACTTTAACCTTTAACCATTGATAGAATCCTGCTTAATAAATTGGGGACAGGTATTTTTGAAGCCCATTTTGTTAGAAGGGAGTGGATCCCTTTTCTACAAAACTTTTAATTGTATTGTAATCTATATTTGCAGAATTGAGAAAGAGCTTCTTCTTCCATCATGGAGTATAATGGTTTAATTTGAAGTTATTGGAACTTGCGGATGGTTCTCTCCGGGTTTGATACAAAGATTCAATGTTTTGCTACCATTTTAAAAGAAAAATTTAGAATAGTTTCAGAATGAGTAGGTCATATAGCTGATTTCTATATTATATATTTTTTTCTTGCGTCCATGAATCATTCATGATATCTCACGTATTTGGCTGTTTTTAATGCGTACTTCCTTTCTGCCTTACCTATTATCTAATTTTGGTTTCAGTCAATTGGAAGTTGCAGAGGCTAGTGAGTAGTTCCTTCATAGAAGCACACAAAGTGGTTTGCAAAAGCAGATGGAAAAACCTTAAAAAAGATGAATGCAGTTTAGTTAGCAGAGGTATGAATTGACTTCACTGCTGTCAAATTAACCATATGGCAGCCTGAATGAGCCAATTCCAAAGTCTCTGCCTCAATCCCTTTGAGAACTCAATTTCTGATAAATGATGAGATATTAAAGATTTATTGCCAGACTGAGGAGTGAGGACAGTGTCAGTGGCGCAAAAATTTCCCAAGTGAAACATTGTTTCCCATGAAAGTGGTAAGTTATTACTTAGTTATTACTTATTTCCAGGGATCTGAAATCTTTGTAAAACGTTCTCCTTTTATAGCGAAGGAAAATCGTTTGTACTTTATGTTTTATGTACAATATTTGTGTCTTTTAATCTGAATAAGGTGCTCTTCCAGAACCAGCAATAAGTGCCTTGAACATTCCATATCCTTGAATCATGTTCCACCATCCATAATCCATGTATCATACTCGACTATATAGATTCCATGTTAATGATCAGAAACTATATATTATAAGAAATCATGATACTTAGCATAATGAAAACTTCCAGCCTTGCTAGGATTCCCTTTTTTTTTTTCTCCCCTTTTTTGGTACTACCATTTTTATCCCAAATGCTTCTAAACAAAAATCTGATGTTGTGGAACTTGTCTGACAGGACGAAATAACATCAATTCATTGGTGGTTTCGAAGTTGTTAGGGCAGCAGCTCCTTTCCTACAACAGAAATCTTTCCTCCTCCGTGTCAGGGGTGCAAGCATAAATGATTAGATAGGGTAAGAACTTTATCAAGCAGGTAAAATTGGCTGAGCTGGGACCTTCTGTAAAAGCCAAATTGATATTCTAAATGTAAGCCTTAAAATTCTTTGTAATATTATTCTGTTGTGCAGTAATGTTTGAAAGTTTCATTCCACTGTAGCTCATTTCTTCATATTGCCTAACAGATCAAATGACCTCTCAAGACAACCATAGTTGGTAGACGCTGCATAAAACAATACAATGATACCCCAAGATTGGATTTTATCATTTTGTCAAAGTGAATGCATATAATCTATCAATTAAATCATAACGTGATAATACACAAACACAAGTACAAACCCCTATTCCATAAGCCATATATATTCAAATATATAATTAAGATTAATGTAATTAATTTTTTTGCTAGGAAACACATATTATTGTTATGCATTTAATTGGATTTGAATTTTTTATAACTTATCAACTTCTATCAGTCATCTTTGGGATTCATATTACACATTGATTAAAACTTTAGTATGTTTATTATATTGTATAGTTTCAATTTTTTTAGTATATATTTAGCATAATTAAGTCTTGTATATTTATTTAATTGAATTCTATAATTTTAAAAAACAAAATTATTTTTAAGTGAAAAATATGTCCCGTTTTGTGTTTAAAATAAATAGACTAATTTAGTAGAAACTAAAAGTTAGAGGTAGAAAAATAGATTCTATAGCAATTCTAAAGAGTTGAACTAAAATCATGATTTAATGCTAAGTATTTTATTCTAATTATGTAGTTAAACATTTAAAATATAAAAAAATCGCAGATACTTGTATTAAAATTAATTAGGGTTCTAGCTAGATATAAAGTGCTAAAATTGATCTTAAAAAGAGTAAATATATATATATGAAAATAAAATAAAAATATTATTATTTAATTTATAAAATGTTTAATAACAAAATATTACAATTAAATTGATGGAGAAAAAAATAAGCGTATAATTTTGAATATAAAATTTTATAGAATTTTTAGTTTTTTTTTTATATTTATTTACATCTATTTATAAATAAAATAATTTTTCAAAATTAAAAATAATATAAAATTTAATAAAATATAATTCACCTTGAATAATTTCAAAATTTACTCCTTCAAAAACCAAATCGAGCAAAAGTTTTCAAGATTAGAAGCTGAAACGAATACAATAAAAAACTCATTTAAATTGAGTCAAATTAGATGATTTCAATCGATTTTTCATTTTTTTTCCGACCCTACCAACGAAACCAAGGTAATAGTTACGAGTAGGTGAGTCACAACCAAAGCCTCTTAGGTCCTATTTAGCATAGCAATGAAATTCACTGTAGAGAAATTGAATACAGTGGTGATATTGAGATTGATCATCCAACGATGATACTAAGAGTTGCTAGATAAGATTGAAACTAGCATGGAACAAGTTCATCAAAAACATTTATGATAGTGAAATGAAGGAAAAAAAAATCATTAAAGATTTTAAAGTTTTTTTTAATAAAAATAATAACATAATTATTGATATATTAATTAATAAAAATAATTAATAGTTATAAGTTATTAAAGAATAATTATTTTATATGTAAAAAATTTTCTATTAGAATTATTGCATATTTCTTCTTTTTCATTTTCTTTATCCATATTTTCCTTTTGTAATGTTTTAAAATTATATCCTATATTTTAAAAATATTTACCTTTTTATATTTAAATTTATTTTTTATTTTTTAATTTTTTAAAATTAAAAATCAAGAAACTTTAATTTTATAAAAAAATTTATTTTAATATTAAATGCATTAAAGTCAATTTTTTTTAATTTCATGAAATTCAATACCATAAAGCTATTTGGGATGGAGGGAATATTTATGAATTTATGTAAGTATTATTTTATTTTTACTTGTCACTATTAATTATTACAAGTTATTAAATAATGATTAGTTTTGGTATTTCTTGGACTTCTTAATATCAAGTAGCACCAAATTTCAGTGTGAATTTTGTTTCGCACTCTCACAATGATTTCTTGAATGATTATGCCATTAATTATTTTAATTTTTTTTTATAGTGGTGAGTTGTTGGTGTCTAAAGGCAGTATAATGTGATTTTTTTTAGTAAAAAAATACAGCTTGAAAATAAAAAATTTATAACTATTAAAGTTTGAATTTGATTTGTTAAACTTAATCTCATAAAATAAATGCAAAAAAGAAAATCAAATGAATTAAATTTTAAATTTTAAATTTTAAAAATCCTTTGTTAGTCATCCACAATAATTCAATTTAGAATATAAAAATATAATTACAATCTATGGTTCTCTTCACTCTCTGGTTAATATAATTTATATGCCATTAAACAATTTTTACTATCAAATTAATATGTTCCAAGAAAAAAAAAATTTTCCTATTTTTTTTTTAATCAAGTAGCTTAAAAAGTAGAGAATATCAGTATTCTTGGTCTGCAACTGTCAAGGACTGCTTAAGGAAGAGGCGAATAAGCAACTTGGAAAATTTCTTTCATTACTCTATCCTTCTACTCACAAGTAAAGCAAGGTCAATTCATAGCAATTATATGTCAGCACACGTTCTTCCATTTTTCCACAAAACACAGCCTAAGCTGTTTTCCACCGATGATTTTTCTCATGACGTTACATGCTTTAGTTTTCATGTATACCCCTTAAATATATTGTATTAGAAAGAGGTTGTTACACTCCAAGAAATCTGCAATCAGCTGCAGTGTGATTATTTTATTTTATATAAAAGAAATGACAGTATAAAAATAAAAAAATAAATTTTAAATTTATTAAATATCATATTTTAAAAGTAATAATATATTTTGGATTCAATTGTCTGATGCATTTTAAAATATAAACTACAATTGGCCTTCCTCCTAAATTTCACCAAAATTTAAATGGATGACCATATATAATTAATTAATAATAATCAAAATTTGATTTTTTTTAGTTTTCATATAATCACACAAAGTACTTTTTTTTTCTTTTAATTAAATATATAAATTAGTTAGAAGTAGGTTTGATACCAAATTCTATATATCAACTCGGAATATTACAAAAGGTGTTTTTTAAGGGGACTAAGCACAAGACAAGCATTCTTCAAAGGAGACAAAGAAGTTACTTGGAAAATTTTACTCAATATCTAAAGTCGAGGAAATAAAGTAAGATATCTGGGAACTTGTGTTAATTTAGTTTCTTAATTTGTCCTTTTTTTTTATTAAAGAATGCTCATATTATGTTAAATCTCCTTTAAATATGATTTTTTGCGATATTATCTTTGAATATTTCAATATGATATTATAAAGAGACTTCTTAGAATGTAAGTCTCCTTAGTTTAGTTTACAA